AAGCCCTCACTCTGCTCACAACTGCACTCCACTCGTGACTGTCCCGTGACAGTCCCACACACACACACACACACTCCTGGCCCTGGTAGGACAGGAAAACAAAACACCATCACCCTGGGTAAACAGTCCCCATATTGCATTCTACTTTGGCACAACACAGGCACAGCAAATGATAAGAATTGTATTTTCCCTTTTTCTGAGGTTCAGAGAATGTGAATCTCAGAAATCCTTGGGAAGAATTGTGCCTTGCTTTTCTCTGTGAAGAGAAATGTGGCAACAGCATAGAGTGAAAACCTTTTGAGACCATTTGATTTGTGGATCTGGTGGTGAAGTGCCCCAGAGATAACTGAGGGACTGAAGTATCTTTTGTCTAAAGAGAGGCAGAGAGAGTTGGGACTGTTCAGCTTGGGGAAGAGTGAAGGAGATCTCACCAATGTGCACAAATGCCTGAAAAGAGGAAGCAAAGAAGAGAGCCAGGCTCTTCTCAGTGGTGCCCAGTGACAGGACAAGAAGCAATAGGAAACAATTAAAATTCTTGAAATTCCATCTGACCATATGACAATTTTCTACTGTGACCAAAAATTCGCACAGGTTGACCAGAGAGGTTGTGAAGTCTCATCTTCAGAGATATTCCAAACCTGACTGGACACAGTCCCATGCAGGCAACTGTAGGGGGCCCTTTTTGAACAGGAGTCCTGAGGTCACTTCTGACCTAAATCTTTGTTGCTCTTTAGCAAAGGCAGCTGGGGCACCTAGACAGGCACCATGAAAAGTGGGTGAACAAATGTAGGGATTCAGCGTGTCAGGTTGGGAAAAGCACCAGGCTGACATCCAGTCCTGGACATCCAGTGATTTTCATCTTCTTTGTACTGTCCTTATTTCATTTATGCGAGTTTATTTTTCCTAACCAGAGCAGTGTGTGTATAATATGTAAGCTGTAGCTGCTGGTACCATCTCTTTGTGCTGTTCTGTTGTTGCCCTGATGTTTATGACTACTGAGGCTACTGGTAGTGGATCACTGGGTGCCTATGTGCTGAGTTTGTGTGGGTAATGTAGGTACCCTTGTCTGAAAAGTTGGCTCATAATAGTTCTCTATTTGTACAAAATCTATAGCAGCTCCAAGGGTTCCTATTATTCTAATAGAAGGTCACAAGAAACAGTTTAACTCTGGTGGGTATTCAGGGCTTACATATGAGTTCATTACAAACATTTTTAGAAAATTGCAGACTCAGTATTGAATGTTAGGAACTTCTCTTCTCCAAACTACTCTCACCCTCTCCGAGGGATGTACTAGGGTATCTCAATTTTTTATCTCCAAACAGTTGAGTTGTCACCCTCAGTTTCTGTAAAATACCTCTAAACTCTGTTGTTTATCAAATCATGTTTCTGAGGACAAGTACTGCACCTCTTCATGAAGACCTTATTTTTCAGAAGACCAAAGTGAATGGAATTAGGATAAGGAAACAAAAAAATACTAGAGAATAGTCCTAAGAGAAAGCATAACATTAGCAGCAGTTAAGCCAATATGAGTAATGTTCATAGGAAGTACATGACATTTAATTCTAGTTATACTAACAGGAAACAGAAATTGTGAAAAGTGAGAAGATTCCTAAGTTAGAAACTAGACAAGGCTTTTTGTGGATGGAGATGAAAAAGCGATTTAAGCTGCAAAACAACCAATGCATGTGATTGTTACCTTAAATGGGCTAACAGAATTTTGCAGCAGTGCTAGCTGTATGTATTTTTTCTCCACAGATCAAGATAATTGAATGTTAATAATATCTAATAAACTCATGAAGATCAAGACAATTCTGTGGCTCACAATAAGGCAGGGAAGAAAGGATCTTCATCAGGCTGCTGTTTTCATGGACTGACATGGAACATAGGTCATACACAGCTTGCTTTGAAACTTAGTCCCTACACAGGGTAAATCAGGCAAGATTTTCTTATCCAATAAGCTGACTACTCTGGTGGTTTTTCTTACACTTTTTTCTTATTTTCTTCCTTGTTCTTTCTCATGGTCATAATCTTTATACATTCTGTATAGATGTAACATATGAACTTCATTTGTGTTATCAGAATTGTATGGTTCCTGAAGTATTGGCTGATAGTGTATATCTAAAATTTTCCATTAGAGAGAGAGGGAGCCCATTTCCTCTGGGGCAGGGTCTTTGAACTTCTCCAGTTTCAGAAGTTAGTGAAAAGCCAATGTAAGAACTCATGGAAGGCAACATGCTTTGTGGTGTGCTTTGTTGTCCTCAGACTATCTCTGGATACATCAGTTCCACTGCCCATACAAAGCTTTGCGGGTATTTTCTGACTATGTTGCTAAAAGGGCTGGTCCCTGAATTTGTTTTTTTCTTCTGCTTCTTATAATTTTAAAATACTGAGTAATACTGCCTCTTTGGTGTTCTATAATATTTATACCATAGTTATGGTATAAAGGAGTGCCAAAGTGGCACTAATATACAGAGTACAAAGTGCTAGTCAAGACCCAGAAAGAAAAGACCATCTTTGTTCTGAACAAGTAACACATAAAAAAGTTGAAGAATATTGGCTATTTTTTGACTAGAAATCAAATCGTCTTATCAAAAATTGTGGAAGTGTAATTGATTTGTAGGATTGGTTATTGAATGGTAGCCCCCATTCTTTTATGAAAGGAGTGATAGGAAAACCCTATTTTATTTTTGTTTATTTTTTAAAATATGGCTACTTTGCGCTTGTATCTACCTGCATCCTTTTACACCCCCCAGTTGAAAAGTTAGCTGATTCAGTAAGACATTTACTGATTCATATCCAGAGGTGTCTAGAGCCCAATGAAAAGTGTCACCTATAGCCCTGTAAGTACGGTGATAGAAGTTCACAGAAGAGACAAAATGAAACTTGTGGGCTCAAGGGTTTTCCAGCAACATTAGAAATTTCAGAGATGTTGAACATTATTGATTTTCTTATGAAAAGCCACTACAGCCTGGCTACATGACCCATTTATTCCATTTAGAGGAAAACTGTTGACCAAGGAGTACCACACCAAGGCAGTTTTGCATTCTGACTGTATTGCTTTCACCCCAGATCCTCTTCTAGGAACAAACTAGCAATAAGAGGCTAATCTGCTGTCCACATGTCATGTGTGCTGGGGTTCAGTGCACCTTTGGCAAGCCTGACCAGCATTTAGAGTGTTTAAATACAGACCACAGTTCACATGAACCCTAAAATGCACATAAAGCCTCAGACCATCATCATCTCCACTTTCCAAAGTCTAAGATCTCCTCGCCTTGTTGTTTGTTTTTGTCCCTGGACCCCACCAGCACTTGAGTACCAGTTAAGCTACTGTGGTGTGTAGATGGTTCTGTGGAACAAAGCATTTCCCAGAGCTGTTATGTGTGGGATGCTTGAAGAGCCCAGTTTGGCCTGCAGGCTGCATGCATGCTTGTCTGTGTAAACAGTCAGTGGGATGGAGGCTGGAGTGAATTAACTACCCAGCTTGTCTCACCTTTCTTCCTCCTGGAGCTGACACATGTCCTGGGCACAGGCAAATTTATGGCACCATAGAGGGACAAACACCTCTGCTGCTGGATCTAACAGATCATGGTCAGTCTGAGTAATTTCAGCTGCAGTTTAAACCACTTTCTCTGATCTGTTTAAAGTTTTTTATGTTGCTTTTGAAACATTAATGCCTGTCCTTTGTGAATATTTCAAGGGCTTCCTTTTACCTCCAAAAAAATTGTATCAAGGAAAATTTTTTCTAGACAAAAACCTGCTTTCTTCATCTTCTTGCACACATCTAAGCCAGTTACCTCACCCAGGATCTTGACATTTGACTTAAAACCATTTTTGGCTTAACAGCCTCATATGGCTGGTGTTACTTCATGATTTCCAAGTCTATCCTTGGAGTGATGTTCTTGCCTGTCTGGAGTGGTACCTAAGAAACTCTCAACATTTGGCTGTGTTGGAAACAGGCCAGAGACAGAGATTGCCCAATCTCTGACCACCTTTGTAGAAGAGTGATCATCTGATTCTACTGTTTTACATTTACCACCTCCATTATGGATATGCTGTGGTCTTGCACATTATTTCCCAGTGCCTGCAGCTCTCAGTGGGCTTGTAAAGTGACTTGATAATCAAGGATGTCCTGGTCCTTCCACAGAGTCCTCCCTGGAGCCATCCCTGGATGTTGTCTAGCCCCCAAAGGATGTTCTTAAGAAAGAGGAGCAGGCTGGTTGGATTTTTGAGGTGTTAATTTGCATTAGCAATTCAACACATTTGAGAGACCATTCTGGATTGAACAACAGTTGTGTTGTTCACATTCCTCACTTTCACACTAAGCAGTCTACTGCTCCTACTGGGGCAAAGTCTGCCCTGGAAAAAGACTACAGAATTTAAAATAGGCAGCAAACACCTGGTAGATGCTATACCCTGGAAATAGACCCATCTCAAAAACGTAACAGAGAAGTTCTAAACACCATGCAGTCCAGCTTCCTTAGAGATAACAGATTTTCTAATCATTTTCAGGGTAAATTGGGAAAGTTTTTTTTCCTTTCTGGGCCATTACCTTTCAGAAAAGTGTTGCCATAAGGTTTTGTGGAAAAATTAAAAAAACCCCAAAACACATTTGGCATACTTTGTTGCGAAACTAAACTAACGCTCAACTACCTTTTCCTCACTTGACCACCACTTAAATGAAAGAAGACTTCTCACATGATAGGGAAATTCTTCTTTCTTGGAAACCTTGACCCTGTTGCCAGTAAATATGGAGATATCTTTTAGAAGAACGTCACAGATGATTGTGGTCAAATTTGTTGAAAGTGGAGCAAGACGTATAAAAAAGCACAGCAAAAATACCGACCAGCCACCACATGAGCAATAAGTTATCTACGCGAGCATCTCGGGGAAGAAGCTACTTTGAGGGTTAACAAAATTAGGTTAACCTCTGTCATCTAACCAGTCTGGCTGCATCACACATGCTGCTGAGACTGTAGAGGCTCGAAGATTTGGGAGCGAAGATGAAAGGATGTTCTATTTTCAGACCTGGGTATTTTTTATTTCTGCTTTGTCTTTTTGCTGTGGAAGGCAAAAAGTCACCTACAGGAAAACATACCTGCCGAAAAGGACTCCTCTCCCAGGTGACAGAGAACCTGTATGTCAAGGCAACTAGTTTGAAATCATCTGTTCCTGTAAGTTGATCCCACTAATTGAAAAAGTTTATTTTATCTACAGAAGCTTCTTTATTAGTTTAATTACAGAGCTTCTGGAAACCTTAATAAGTTGAATGATCTCTACAGTCCTGAGAGACAGGGTAATGCAGCTACTTCTTTTGTAAAGGTGGGAAAAATTTATGCATAGAAGATGCATAGAGAGGCTGGATGAGTTTTCCATGAAAGAAATTTGTAGCTAGGCTAGGATTGGAATACAAGTTTACTGAGTCCTCACCCTACATCTGAAGAAGACGATGAAGATTAATATTATTGTTACTGAGTTTTGTATAAACCAGACTTGAAACTTTCTCCCTTCCTCTGCTCAGGTTAATTAATACTATCACATTCTATTTTACAGAGGGATCTCATCAAGACCACGAGGCTGCTTAAAAAGACTACAAAAATGCTGTTTATGGTAAGATTTATACTACTAGTTTTCCATGTTCTTATTTTGACTTTCCTTTGGTCAATACAAACAGGAATGTGTGATCAAAAGCAATGAAAACTGATGCAAAAAATCAATTGTATTTAATTAGGAAAAAGACATTTATGAAAGCCACAGGCTTAGAGAAGTTCTCTGCTTAGAGGAAGAGTGTTATTTCTGTCTCAAGAAAGGGATATTCCCCTGGGACATGAAGGGACAGTTGATCATGGTGTGGGGAGAAACAGGTGGATTTGGAAAGCCTGCTTTGTAGGCAGCTGAAGTCATGCTCTGCCAGGGAAACTGGGGTGAGGGTGGTTTTTGGTCAGGGAGGAGTGTGCTCCTCCTGTGAGCCCTGGCTGCATGTGAGCCTCCCAGGAATGCTTCCAGGCACCAGCCTCACAGGAGGGCCAGAGCCACAACCACTGTCCCACAGCTGAGGCACCTTCTGCTGAGGGTGTGCAGTACCATGGATAGCCCGGGGATGCTGCAGGGAGTTGGGACACCCAAGGAGCTGCTTTGAGCTTAGAGCTCTGCAGGTGCGCTGGAATAGGGTCATCAGAGTTCCCAGTGCAATTCAGCATGGGAGTGAGAAACAAAGCTTGGGGTGTCTCATTGTAAGTGACTGTAAGTGTGTGAGACATTTTCTTTTTCTTCATGCAGAGGTCTAGTCAGCAAGACCAGCTGAGGTGGTTTATCCTTAAGTATAGACCTGTTGGCCTTTGATATTCCTTGGATTTCACAGAACACCTTGGGAGCAAATGCTCCTCACTTGTCTGTGGGACCTACACACAGATATCCACATTTCAGTGGTGTCATCTGCAGCTGCATTAGCCTCCTGACAGGAAACTCTCACCTGACAATTGATTCCATTGCCCAGAAATAGGCATGTAGTCATTTGAAATACCTTTAGGTGTCCAAGAGAACCCACAGGTCAAGCAGATACAACACAGGATGACTGGTCTTTTCTGGAGCAGCAACTGGGGATGGGCTGCATACCCTACAGCATATCAAATGGCATGGGACAGTCATGTGGAGGAGTGGAAAAATGACACACACAATGACTCCTGCAATTTGACCTAGATGGTCTGACTTAACTCCCCAGTTTATCTTCCATTTATTCTTTGTGTGCTAAGTACATTTGTTGCTGTCACTTCTGCTCATGATTGGTCTTACCAATATTCTGTGCCTGCCAGCAGAGCACTCTCCTGCCTTTCCTTCAGAAACCACAGAGGCAGATTGAGCTGTTTAATACAAAAGGAAGCAGGTCAATTGGATACTAAAATTCATAAAAATGGTTTTATTGATTGCACACTTTCTAAACATGCATGTTTTATGAGGCTGAAATTTTAGCCTCATAAAAGTTGACTTTTGGGATGTTTATTTGGCAAATCATTACTTGATTTGTTTTCAGACAAACTGCAGTGTTCGAGATCAGCTCCTCTCCTTCTATGTGAAAAATGTCTTCAGTCGTCTTGAGGTAGGGAGTGACAAGTTGTACTTTATTAGTGCCTTCCAGGTCCTGCAAGCAAATATGGATGCCTGTGTGAGTATATTCCTGAGAGCTAAGCTAACTTTGTCCATTTGAAAAGTTAGGGAAGGGCTCCATGTCAGTTTTTCAGCAGCTGGAGAGGCAGAGGGTGATTCAGAGTCATGGTGTGACCCATGCCGCAGGGGATGCAGATTCTCAAGGGCTTTTCCACTGGGCTCAGGGAAGTTTAACACCATTCATTCCCTCCCAAAGTGATCTTGTGGGGAGTGTGCAAGGTGGTGGTGATCCCATGGAGCCAAGCCACTTCCCTACTGATGATGTCACCTTGTGCTGTCCCCTCATCACTAAAGCTGCAGAGAAGCAGGGTGGTCACAGGGAGAAATGTGGCTCCTCAAGTTTCTGTGATGTTACAGTGGTAATGCTTTCCTTCTTCAACAACATACCCTCTGCAGGTGTGTAATCTTTACTCACAAGTCATCTCTGCTCCTCCATACCAAATTTTGAAAGAACTGCTCGTGTCTCATGGGTAAGCAGGGAGCACAATTACGAAGCACATGGGAGCAGTTCCTATGAACTGGCTGTGCTCACAGTCAGAGCAGGTTGTCAGAGAGTCATGCTGCCCATTGGTAAAATGCCTCCAGGTGCCCCAGAGAAGAGGCACTTTTGCCAGCTCTGCCTAAGTAATGACAGGACAGCAGTTAGAGCACACTTTTGCCTGTGCAAGTATACTTACTGACATACCAGGTAGATGCTAAGATGATGTCATCACTTGTTGGTCATTTCTCACATAATTTTTAAAGGTAAACAAATAGTGACTGGGTGTGTCTTAAAACTAAATATCCTATGGACATACTTTTTCCTCCCCTAAACCTGAAGTCCTTACAGTCCCAACAGTGTCCCAGAAAGTGGAGCCTGACCTAGGGTGAAATATAGCCATGGATATCAAGGCAAATGCCTATTGTGATTTTAAAAAGTGAGAGCAGGATGGAAAGCCAATGAATTAATGAATTAAATTAATTGAAACTTTGGCTAATCTGAACTGCATGGTAGCACAGAAGAAAAGGACAGTGGTTCTACATGCACAAAAACATTTGCAATGCAAACAAACCCCATCTTGAGAGTTCTTTCTGCAGAGTTAGAGTTATAGATCAGAACTCAACTGATGTATTTGCATAATGTAAAAAGATTCAAATCTTAATGGGAGAAAACTTCACCAGCTTTCAGGTTCTGTATTCCAAACCATGCTAAACAGTTGTGATTTAAAGCCATTATTCTCAGCATATTGCTGGCATTGTGCTGCTGTTATTGTTTGTGTGTGCCAAAAGTCCAGAGAATCCTGTAATTCCAGAATGTGACAATATAATTTCAGATGGTAAAATATGCTTTATAAAGATTACATTTTTGTCTGGAGAAACAATTACATTCTATACAAATGCCAGTACACACTGAGGAGTTTAGACTGTCAACTGTGACTGAATTCAGAATATCCAGTGACTGTAGCTTGCTAGATAGCTTAGTAATACATTTGTTTCTGTGCTATATTGAGACAAAATGCTGCAGGTTTCTCAGAGCTCCTGTATTTTTTTTCATAATTAGTGCCAGTGTTTTACCCAACAGAAGTCTAAACATAACAACTTACCTTTTTGGGTCTTAAAAAGTGCTGATAATGGAGATATGACTGTCCCTGCTAGTAGAAAAACAACAGCTCTTTGAAAAATGATGGCTTGCCATGATTTTCTAGGAGACACCCCATTTCAGGAAACTAATATTTTTAAAAATGCTTATATTAATTCAAACCCAGCAATACAAAACCATGTGAGAGAATAACAAAAATTATGAATAGAGTGAAAGTGATGGATCCTTTGCTAATAGTAAACTTAAGATTTTTTCATATATTATTCTTCAATAAATTAGCACTCATTCATCCATGTGCATCCATGTACTCTTTAGTTATTATTATTACCTAGTTGAGCTATAAGACGTTTATCAGAAGGGATTTCCACCATGGCAACATATAGTTAATTTTTATTTTACTTTACTTTTTTACTTTCAAGAATAAAGTTCTCTATACCACCAAAAGAAACAGTGATATCTTTATAGATATATTCACCTTATATTCTTTCACAAACTTGGGCTGTAACTCAGCCAGCTAGAGACATATGTGCTACCTAAAAATCCTAACAATATTTGCCTCCCAACCACTTCTAAAGACATAATATTATGATTCTACCCCTGGCAGTTCTTGGTTTTGTCCAAATAAGGAAGCAATAATATTTTTCTATGATATAGAGGCCCAAGCTCAGTTTTTTAAAAATATGTAAGTTTGAAAATTTCTAAACTGATTTTCTCCAGTAAAGTCAGACGTTCTCATTTAGACCATGACAGAAAAGTAAAGGGAGCAGACATTTTCCCCTGGATACTTGGAGCATCCACCTGCAGCACCTCTGACCTCATTACTTTCTTGAGTGCCCTGGTCAGCCTTGCTGAGAACAGTGTGAAGTTTCTTTGAGGCTGGACTTATGTTCCTCCAGCCCTTAGTGCATTGCAGAAGTGTTTTCTTATATTTGAATGGAGTGTAGAAGGATAATATATTCCCTGCAGAGCCTTTAATATTTCTCAATCATTTTAGGCAGAGCTTGTAGACCTCAAGCTGAGTTAATGTTTGCAATATTCTAACTTTCTGGCTAGCTCATTTAGTGACTTGCAGTATATGCAGGAAGATAAGAGTTTGTAATGTGCATCACCACGAAAACCAACATACTCATTTAAGGTCAGTTCTGCTACCAAATAATATTTTGTGAAAATCTGTATCATACAAGATACATTTAAAAAAAAAAAAAAGAAAAAAAAAAGAAAGAGCGCCAGGTTAGGAAGAACTGCCCTGTCTGGAAGATTTTTAAAAAAATGTACTTATATTTATATTATCTTTTAAAGATTTGCTTTTTTCCCCACTTTCAATGTGTGATGTGACTTTGGGAAGCACAAAAGGTCACATGAAAATATTTGTGCTCCTTTTCAAAGTACTGTGTGTGAGATAGAAAAGAACTAACAATTCATTTCAAAGGAGTTATTTCCTTCCATGAGTTGAGATGAGGATATTTGTCTTTTTTCTTTTCAAACATGTTGTCCTTGTTTGCAGATTGGAAGACATCAATTTTTTTCCTTTTTTTTCTCTGAAAGAATATATTTTTGGCAATTCAGGTAGCTGAGGATCAGCAAGCCATGTTGCTTAGAAAGCTTAGTCTGGCAACTCTAAAAAAGCATTTGGAACAGCTTTGGGTGGCCACTGCTGAGTGGACAGAGAGAGGTGGTGAGGGGACAACTAAGCCCTCCAGATGGTAAATAGTCAGACAGCAGAGAAAGGGGCAGGGAAGCAGAGAAAAACATAAATTAACCTTATAAATATGTTTTGAGGGCTTGCAGAAATGTGCAAATTTGCTCCCTGTATTTTGTGATGGTCTTTGGCCCTTAGCCTTGCCTTCTCTCAGGTTCAGGGGTTCTGAGGGTTCCGAGCCTAAGAACCTTGAATCTTAGAGCTAGGATACAGTGTGCAAAAGCTGTAACTGCAACTTATGTATAGATTCCTGAGTTACATAGAAAGTATTTAATAAGAAAACTTAGAGGTACTCATAGTGCCAATTTTGGGTGTTGTGAACTCAACTTGGCAGGAAGAACGCAGGTAAAAGAACACATTTGATGTGTTCAAATGTTGCTGAGATCACACATTTTACTGGTAGCTCTACAGTGCCACACTGTGGGCTGGACTCTTCCTCATCACTGTGTCTTTATATCAGCACCTTTGGGTTTTTTTCATCCTTCAGCTTCCATGTGCTCCATCCACAAGGTTAACTTCTGCAGTCAAAAAGTTAAAGAGAATATTTCTTAAGGTAAGAGCAGGAGGTGCTGCCTCCCCACTGCACTGCTCAAGGGCTGTAGCTAGTTCCTTTTCTAATGCCTGTGTCTTCTCAACAGCTTGGAGATCAGGGAATCTACAAGGCCATCCATGAACTGGACATTCTCCTTCCCTGGATTCAGGCCTACGTACAAACCATCATATGAAGAATGAGGAGGTGACAGACAGTGTGCTGCTTCTGTGAGAAGAAGAGATCAATACCCAAAAGGCCTGAAAATGAACTGAAGCCGGATGATCAATGTGTCTGGCAGTAACTCCCTCCTGTGGAAAGAGACCCTCTGCAACACAAGCGGCATGAAGAGGGCTTTTCATAAGCTTTCATGGTTAACCTGGCACAGCAGCTTTGCCTGTTCTGCCTCTGGAGCAGCTAGAGCACGCTGCTGTGCTTCCCATCCTGCCTGCCCGCTGCCTTGCAGGCAGCCCCCAAAGGAGCCACACCAGCAGAACTTGGAATCTGCTACCCTGCGGATCACACACCACGTCCCACGTGCTGTGGGCATGATCTTGCCTTGGCTTGTGCCACCCTGTGTGAATACAGTTCAAAGAAAACAGGATCACTTTGGAGAATCCCACCGCTAAGCTATATTTCCTTTGGGACATGTGGTTGTAGATGTATAACAGTATACACAAGCCATTCTACATGTAAATACAAAAAACAATGAGATACTGCTTATCTTTATTATTAATTTAAGGTAATAACTGATCCCTAATAAAAAAAGACACAATTAATGTAAAAGCATTTTTTTCGGACTCATGCATGTGCTTTAGATATCATATAATCTACATGAGATCAGACACTCAGAAAACACAATAAATGGATTGCTTTCACTAGGATTGTAAAATTATTTACGAGAAGTTTGTGGAAGTTGATGGTAGTGGTTTCCAAAATGTCTTTCATATAGTACAGAATGAAGATGGAATTCTAGTTTTCTCACATTTTTAAAGATTTACCAAGAGAAAATATCTAGGCAATGAACATAATCCCAATCTCTGTTTGGCAGTTCCATGGGGCTGAGATTCTGCAAATCTTCAAATCTCATAGTTCTACTATGTCAGGAGCATTTGAATCCATTAGTGTGTTGCCACTGATGATCCTGAGCTAGTTCCTCTTCTGGCAAATGTCTAATATAAAGGAGTTGCTATGAAAAATACATTTTTCTTTTCAGTTGAAGACAAAATGGTTAATTAGAGGGACAGTGGAAAATTTGATGTCATGGTCTTTTCTGAACATGTAATTTAACTTTTAATTAACACGTCCCTTTTCACGGATTTTTTCCACACCCATTATTATTTGAAATTCAAGTTTGTGTGCAGCTTCAGTGTTTTTTGTCCGAACTCTGGTGTATGGAATAGAAAATTGGCCATGGGGATGGCCTCTCCAGCCTTCATCAAACATAACTGTCTGGTACTTGCTGCTGGTAGGGAGCAGTAGCCAGGATCTGGAACCCTGCGGGAGCTGGAGTGCTGTGCTGCTTCTCTGCCTCAGAAGGGAGCCAGTGACACCTGCAAAGAGAAACACTGCCACCTTTAGCTGGGAAGATCCATGGGCAATGGTGCCTGGTGATTCAGCTTGCCAAAGACTTCTCTTGCGGATCTTTTGCACATCCATTCAGTGGGTGACACATGAAGTGAGACACGACCTTTAGAAAGGGCAAGTAGCATCTTCCCTGCCACACCTCATGCTGGGGTCAGCCCTGCCATGGGCATGGGCAGCCAACAGACCTCTCACTGCAGGGTTTGAGGTCAGGCTGCAGCAAAGCTCAGCCTCCGTCCATCTGACAAGGACATCAAGCTATTTTATGGCTAAAAGCTTAGGATTTGTGTATTTCAGCCCTCATTTTCTATATGGCTTGGGACATTTTGCAGATTCTTAGTTGCCTTGCCTATAAAATGAAAGTACCTCTGGGAATGATGCATCCCTTCATACAGTAGTGAAAATCACATCTGCAAACCAATTAAACACTCCTGGATGAAAGCCAAAATACAGCATCTGCAAAGTAAAGGACATTACCTAAGGCAAAAGTGTTGTGGTAAGTGGTACATGCCATATGCAGGCTACCTAACAGCAAATATTGCTCTGAGTCTTCACAAAAACATAGCAAAATAATTGGTATTAAATATATTCAACTGTCAATTCAAAGTAATAAGTATGGGCAAAAGCTTGTTGCCTTTTAAAACTGGACAAGTGAAGGAGTGCATTTTAATTTTACAGATGAGACTCTAGGTGTCACTCTTAGAAAACAAGATGTGTTAGTCTCAGTTAACTGTTGACTTCAGCTGATGGAGAAAGTGTTAGAGCATATTTCATAAGTAGTTTTCTTGAGTGGAAACTGAGATAGATATGCAGTTGAGTTAGAAAGATTGAATTATTTAAATTCAATTGCCACAAGTGTAGAATTGAAATAAAAAATGTAGGGTAAAAACAATGGGCATATAGCAACAAACTGATTGATTATGAATTCAGTTGCTAGTTTTACTATAGAATTCTTATGTGACTATAGACAAGTTCCTTTATTAAGTTACTTTTCTCCTTTTACAAATGGAAAAACTGTCTATCAATTATTTGTTCAAGTTAATTTAGCATACAGAAGTCCTCAGGAGGAAATTATTTCCCCTGCAGTGTTAATTGATGTCACTGTTGCTTAGTGTGGTTTGTCTTATCACAGTGTTTTGGTCTTTTTGAAGCAGTGACTCTTACTACGTGGAAAAAAAAAGTATTTTATGACTGTTACTGCAAAAGCAAGAATGAAAAATATGTGGCTGTGCATTAAAATTGTCACTAGATCAAAGCTTCTTGAAAAACTCTGATCTAGTGGAAAGTAGCAGCTGCACATGCAGTTTTGGTGTTATGTAAATAGTACAGCAACAGTCAGTGAAGAGAATTTCCATCACATACAAGATCATGTACAATTTTCTGGTTTCCCTGAAGTGTTTTTTTCTCTCAAGTGCAAAATCCTCAGAACAGAGGTTATCACTTAATAAATGATTTTTGCTGTAGGCCCAACCATCTACAGCAATCTCCTCATCTCAGCTGCAGCCCTGGTGATATAATGTTTCCATAGAATCATGGAATCATAACATCATGGAATTGTTCAGGTTGGAAAAGATCATTCAGACCATCCAGTCCAGCCAGTAGCCCAGCACTGAAAAATCCACCACAAAACCATATCCCCAAGTGCCACATCCACAGATCTTTTACCTACCTCCATGGGTGGTGACTCAACCACTTACCTGGGCAGCCTGCTCCAGTGCCTGACAAGCTTTCTTGGTTGCAACCTGACAGTGCTTTCAGAGAATATTTCCTAATCTCCAATGTAAACAAGTCCTGGCAAATGCTGGGACAGTTTCCTTTGGAGAGCATCAGAAGGATTAGAAAATTAGATTAGAAGACTGTTTCCTGAAACATGGAACTAAGAATGAGGTAACTTGTGTTGGATTTGGCTATTTGGCCACAGTTTCTTTGAGCCCACAACATACATTGATTTCTAGGGACAATAGCAGACTCCTCACTGCAAAGGTGTGACCAAAGGTGAAATGCTCGAACTTTTGGACTAGTGATTAATGAGGTGCTCCCCAAACAGCCCCCAGTAGCCAGTGAGCCCAGACATTTAAGTCAAGTCATCCTCCCCTCAGGAGCTGTAGGGCTACCAAGAGGAGGGGTGCCTGGGCAGGCAGTGCTGTACAGGAATGGGAGGGATGCAGCAGCCCCTGTACAGCTGCAGTGGTCACCTTACAGCTTCTCCCATCTTTAGCCAGCCTTCTTCATATTGCAAATAATGAGTGCCCTGGGGCTACTCTGTCCTACATGCTGCCAGGAGCTGCTGAGCTGTGGAGAATGGTCTCACCTCAAATCTGTTTTCATTGAAAAATCAGTGTTTAGATTGACATTCCTATTCTTTTAGTTTCAGTGGAAGAGTGATTTGGAAACAAAAAGGCAGCTAGTAGGTTCATTGCTCTAAAGGAACATTGATTGCCAGAAGGAAAAGGGAGCCACAGGAATACCATCAATTGAGGGTGGAGAATATAATGGAATAAAAGGAAATATGTCAGAAGAAAGTTCGAATTGCAAAATGTTATTGATAATAGTTTTTTCAATTCTTTGGATGAAGCAGGTTGATGAAAAGTCTCAATGATCATAAAGACACAGGATCGACAGGATAAGTGACAGACAGGACTCTGGAGGTTTTTGGCCCTAACTCCTGCTCAAAGCAGGGCACAACAGGAGATCAAACCAGACTGCTCAGGGCTTTATCCAGCTGCATCTTGAAAAATCTCTGATAGGAGTGATGGAAGGCTGACTTTGAAGGGACATTGCATAATTCCTGTGTGGGTAAATTATTACAGAGTTGAATGGAGCCACAGCTGAAGAAGGTTTCCATAGTTGAAAGGCAACGTATGACAACTGCCTGATCACAAAATGCTTGTGTGATGTGAATGACAAATTGCAGGCAAGTGTCAAGGAAAAGATTGAATGAATTTTGAAACAGAATTAAGGCAAATGAGAATTCACAGATGTTTCACTTCTGGTAAATTATTTCTGAAGGTTGCAGGCCCCTCTCAATTTATACCGAGGTTTTTGGCCCAAAGCCTTGAGGATGGAAACCAGCCCACTCCTCACCTGGCTCCTGACTCTCCTTGCAGCATGGGCACTCCCAGGGAGGTTTCTAATGTGTGGCCCATAAAAAGTTCATGCACATCTCCCTGCTCCTTGGCCATTGACTCTGGATATCCCAGGAGTGCCCTACCTTCTCATCCCAGGTTTTGATGATCTTTTTAGAGTTTTGTTGGCTTCTGGTAGTTTTTCTGCCACATCAAACTGGCAAAGAACAGAAGAACATGTTATGCTAGGATATTCAAGTAATATCAGCTATCTGATTACCATTCCATGCTTTATGAATCATCAGAGTTAGAAACCTGAGAAAATACAAATTTGATTTAGTTTAGTGGAAGAGATTGTAGGCAACCTGATGTAGAGGCAACCTGAGGAGGAAGGGTGTAGAAGAGGAGTGATGATGGGTGAACAGAGGAGTCTGGAGTGTTTGGGTCATATCTGTATGTCTCAGCATGGTGCTGTATTTTTCACATTAAAAAAAAAATCTACTTAAAGAGAGCTGGATGTAAAATTTCTAGCAGTGGGAGTTGCAGA